GGCTGGGAGGGACAGAAGGATTACCAAGGGAAAAGAAGAGGATGGAAGGTGGGATGGCGCGACCAGGGTCCTGTTTAATCACTGGCCACAAGGCCTGGGAGTTTCTGTAAATGCACAGAAAATAGAGAGGGCATGAAGAGTCCAGCGTCGCTAAAGTGGGGATGGGGCAGGCGCAGCCAGTTTTGTGAAATTAAGCTGGAAAGGTACATGGGAGCCAGCCTGAGCTGGGCATTAAATGCCAGGCTGACTTTGCATTTTGCCCTAGAAACAATAGGGAGACACAGGGAAGTGGCAAAGGCACCTCAGTGCCCAGCTATCATCAGTGTCTCATCTGCAGCTGCTGCTGAAACATCCACCCTGCAGCCAAATAGGATCTGTATCCTTGGGCTTAACATAGTGTATGACACTCGGTAAACGCTGAAGTGCTCTTTCAGTAATTAATTATCAACAAATCCGTCAAGCCCTGGACAGAGCTGGGCCTTAGGGAGATTATTTTGGCAGCAGTGTGAAAGATGGATAGGAGAGAGAGTGAAAACTGACAAATTCCAAAGCCATTACCCCTGCCCAGGCAAGAAGTGAGGAGTGACTGATCCAGCCACCTGTCTACTTCTTATCTGATGGATTTCTTCATAATTAAAGTGTAACTTGAGTGGTACAGAGCATTCACAGCTTGACTACTTGTGTGACTTAGCAATAGTGTTTCGGTGTAATGTTAAAACCTTGGGGGGCGGGGCAGCTAGGTGGCACAGTGGATAGAGTTCTGGCCTTGGAGTCAGCAGGACCTGAGTTCAAATTTGACCGCAGACACTTGATACTTACTAGCTGTGTGACCCTGGGCAAGTCCCCTAACCTCAATTGCCTCACGAAAAAACCCAACCAACCAAACAAAAAAACCTTGGGGGGAGGCGTCCACTTCCCCTCTTCCTACTCCACTCCCCTTACTCCACAGCAATTTCCCACTCAGTCTCGGATTCGACTCTCCTGTGTGGCAAGGAGTACCTCCACCTCCAGAGTCTCAGAGGAGAAGGTGGATTGTGGACTCACTGCTCCAACTAGCACCTGCCTTCCCCTGGTTGGGCTTCCTCTCCTGAGCACGTGATCCAGCATCAGCCTTGAGGTGGGTGTGTCCAGCTTTGGAGTTGTCTTCCTGAGCTGCAGAAGTCTGGAGGTCCTGTCTGGCTGCAATGGGTGAAGCGGGCTGGCAGCAGAAGCTTCTACGTAGCATAGGACAAAAGGAATGGCTCAAGCCTGACTGTTTTACCAGCAGACAGTGCAGAGTCAAGGCAAAAGGCAAAATGCCCCATCAGCCATCATACCTCCTGCCTTCTGGTTCAATAGTTATAAGTTAAGTTATTGAATCCTGTTTTAAGTTTGTTTTGGTGAAATGCAGGTTTGAGAAGATTCTGTGTTTAGCATTCCTTCTAAGTGTAGGAAACACAGTTGTCTCTTCCACATTGCAACTTTCTCCATTGGGGTTTCAACATATCCGCAGGTCGGCATGAGAAATTAAATGGGAATCTTTTTGGAGTTTTGCAGGGCCCACAGACAACATGCGAAGGCTAGCAGAGGAGGAACTGAGACAGACAAGGTTAAGTGACCCAGATGTGAACTCAGGAAGATGAGTCTTCTATTCACTGCACCACCTGGCTGCCCCCATAATGGGCATTCCCCACCCCGAAACGGGGAAGCTCAAAACCTTGCTTTCCCCTAGATAGAGCCAGCAAAACAAGGAACTCATTTCCAGAGCAAAGTCAGCATTCATCCTTTTTTTCTCCAGGGACTCATCTGCATATGATTCCTAAACAAATATGGAAGCTAAACTAATTATCCTAAGACCAGATGGAGTACTCATTGAGGGAAGGGGCTTTCGAGCCAGGAAAAAATAAAGTGAAATAGGGCATTCTCCTATCCTTTGACTGGAGGTAACAAATAATCCCAGGGCTGACCCTTTGAGGAGATCAAAGAAAAGCTTCTGCCTCAGCTGAGCTGGAGCATTCAGAATATCCAGCTGAAGACAGGCAGGAGCTGCCCATTGAAGGGGCACTTCGTGCTGAGGTTGAGCAATCTGCCCAATCCAACCTGGTGAGAGCTTGGGTGCTTGTTACGAAGACATTCTGTCTCTATTCAGAGAGAGGAAGGACGGCTGAGGCGCAGCAAAGCTGGAGCTGTGGGTTACTTTGGCCATGTGGGTTCTCTACACGGATGTCCCAATACTATTGTACTTTGAGTTAGCGTGAGCTCTTCCCCACTTCTGGACTCTGGATGTTTTCATGAGAGAATACGTCCTGGTTTGGGAAAAGATGCTTTGTACCCATTATTCTTCATGTTAACCATCAATTATTAATTAATATTAGTAAAACCAATATCAATTAATTATTAATATTAAGTAATATTGTTATTCTTTCTAGGCCCTTTGAGGAAATGCTTTTGCTAAAGAACTCAACGAGGTGTGGTAAGATATGCCTGTAATCCCTCCTGCTAGATCACTTGAGCTACAGTAGGGCTAAAGCTAACTGGATGAGTCCACATAGCCTCCAGGAGGTAGGAGAGCCTCCAGGCTTACTAAGAAGGGGTAAACTGGCCTAGGTTGGAAACTGAGCAAGTCAAAGCTTTCCATGTCAGTCAGGAATGGGCTAGGTACCATGAGCATTTCCAGCCTGGGTGAGACAGGGAGACCCAATCTCAGAACAACACCAACACTCACTGTGTCTGCTGGCTGTTAATTATTGTTAAAGGGAAGCACACTGGTGGGGGCTCGTGAGTTAGTGTTTAGTCAAACCCCCTTCATTTTACAGATGAGAAAACTGAGGCTCAGGTGAAATGACTTCCTAAGGCTGGTAGTAGGCAGCATTTGAACCTGGGTCCTCTGACTGCAGTCAGGGCTTATCCAGGCTCACCCAGGCCTGCCTTCAGAGGAACAAAGGCTTTCTGTCTTTAGACTCAGCAAGGCAGGGAAGAAGAGAGAGATTCTAGGGAAAAGAGCTGATGATGAAGAAGGGTGGGAGCTGGGAGGAAGGAAGTGAGCCCAGAAAAGAGAAGGGAAGGGTGAGGACAGGAGTGGGGAAGAAGAGATGGCATTTCCCCCAGACAGTTCAGTGTGGTCCCAACAGGCCTCTGGCTGTTTACTGCACTTGGGACCAGCTGGAGCCTCTACAATCGGCTTATCCGGTGGATTCTCCTTGTGCTGATCAGGCAAGGTCATGGAATGTCAGAGCAGCCGGGACCAGAGAGGTCACTCGAGTCCAATCCTATTAGAATACGAGCCTTTGGAAGGCAGTTTTTTTCCTTTCTTTGTAGGCTCATGGCTTAGCACAGTGCCTGCTATTAAAGCAAGTGCTCAAATGCTCGGTCATTGCTAATTCACAGGGGTGACCTTTGTAAAAATGACCTATTCCCTGAATTTGGAGCAGTAAAGCTTGGAGTGTTCGCCACTGAAAATGGTGGGGAAAAGATTTCGAGGTCTAGAATTCCATAGATGGATGTGAATGCAGATACTGTTAGTCTCAGTTTATTTTTTAAAATCTAGAGCTGGCCCAGATGCTCCTCACCAAAGCACATAAAGTAAAGGCACTCTCCCCAAGCATGCTTTGGTGGGGATGCCTGGTCTTGGAATAAAGAGGTTTGGACCCTCATGCTAACAGGTGGAAACCACCCCCCCCCCCAACTCTCCTTGAACTTCCCTGTGTGGCCAAGTCTCTGGCGTTCGCCTGAGGCATCGACTCATTCCAACTGACCTTTCATTGTGGCCTACACCCAAACCTCCAATTCTCTGTTACCTCTAACCCTAGCCCAGCCCTTCATTGTCTGTAACCTCCGGATTATCCCAGCCACTTCCTACTCTTAATTCCATCTAGACTCCTTTACCGGTCCAGGTCCCGGGTACCTGGCCTTTCCTGGGTCACCCCAGCCTACTATCCACCCCCATCCAAGATCCTCCCACACATCGTTTTCCTGTAAAAAGAGTTAGTCTCATCTACCAAAGCGTGGGTTTTTAGAATCATGCCCGCCTTGACCAGTGTTCTAATAAACTCTGTCTTTGGCTAAGAGAAAGCTCAGGTTGAATTCATTCGAGGCAGGACCTGCATCGCTATTTTGGGGTCCCAGCACCCCTAAACCTCAACAACGCCATCCCAGGGCAAGCTGTGTACTGTCTTTCTGCCCTGGCTAGCTCCTCTCAGGTTGTGAGTGGCAGGTCAGATCCTCAGGGACCAAAGATGTTTCCTCACTGAGGAGTTCCTTCCACTGAAGAAATTGAAGATCACATACCCAAAAGCCTAAGCGACAAAGGGGCAGAGCCTTGCACACCAGTGCCCAGAGCTGTGATTTCATTGGTGTAGGGAACACTTCATCTACTGCTCTGCACCAGGGATGGCTTGTGGTCTTGGGAGATAGATCCCCGAGCTTGGAACTGTGAAGCCTGCCCAAAGGCACCTTGGTTTCCTCATCTGGACTCAGTGGCTTAGAAACCTATGATTATATGGACTTTGAGTCTTCGAGAGTTGCCTGGGATACCAAGACAGCAAGTGACTTGCCTAGGGTCACATGGTCAGCCTGGGTCAGAGGTAGGACTAGAACCCAGTTTTCCTGACTCTGAGGTCAGCTGTCTCAATTCTGTGCACCAGCACTTTAGGACCTGGATTCAAATCCCATTATTACCTGAGTAACCTTGGGCAAGTTACTTCCTCTTTCTGGGCCTCAGTTTCCCCATCTGTAAAATGAGGGGTTTGGACTAGGTGGCCCCGAAGTTCCCTTCCTGCTCTGAAGCTATGATCCTACGATCTCTGAGGTCCTTTTATCTCCTGATCTATGGTCTCAGTTTCTCCCTTCCTGGTCAGATCTAAGTGATAGTTCAGCCTGCAGCTGGCTTCCATCCCTGTATCTTGCCTCATGATGGCCATTCAGGTACTCCAAATTGTCTCCTATTTTGTGGCAGCTCCAACAACCCAGGCCCTCTCCAGGTGGTCAACGTGACACAAATTCACCTGTTTTTTAGCCACTATTCAAACTTTATTTATTTGAGCAATGGGGGAGGGGAAAGTCCATGACGACACAAACTACATCTGTCTTTTGTCTTGGCTATTCTGCTTCCTGTGCTGGCCTGGATGTCAGCATGGTGCCATAGAGGGGTCTGGAGGCAGACCCTTGGTGACTTGATATTATTGAAGATCAGTGATCTTTACTGGATTCCTTAGGCCAGTTGGTTAGTTTCATGGTGTTTATGTTCACTGAGCTTTTTTGTGGACCTGGACCATACGCAAACCTCCCCTCTCAAATTAGCACTTGCTGAGGCCTCTAAGTGGTTTAATCTACAAACTGACTTAGTTTACCTAGAGAGCCAGTTTAATGAGGTTTGTCTCCTAAAGGGATAGATGAGATTATGACTATGGGTAACTAAGTTTGTTTCACTTTTACAACATTGAAAGAAATATGGGGCCTTAGCTCTTCCTCTGTAAAACGAAGTAGTTGGACTAAATAAGCTTTAAGGTCCCTTCCAGATGTAGAGCTACAATCCTATAAACTACATTCTCTGCACCAACACCATTCAGTCATCATTCTATTCAGTCATCAGTCACTCGTGCTTCTTTATCTTTTTTTTCTTCTTCATTATCAGCTATGTCTTTCAGATTTTGACGAGCAAACTCCTCAAAGACCAGATCTTCACCCATTGAGCTGAAATGAAAGACAGACAAACATCTGGATCATCACACAATTCTTGAAGTGATGGCCGAAGTCTTGTTAGGAACCTGTGGTTGCTGTTTGCCCTCCACGTAGCACCCTGACTTTTTTTTTTTTTTAGGCAATTGGGGTTAAGTGACTTGCCCGGGGTCACACAGCTAGTAAGTGTCAAGTATTTGGTCTGAGGCTGGATTTGAACTCAGATCCTCCTGACTTCAGGGCCTGTGCTCTATCCACTGCACCACCTAGCTGCCTCACACCCTGACTTTCTTCTGGCTCCAGATTCTTTACCTCATGGACCTCTTTGCCAGTCTGGTGAAGTTTATGGATCTTTTCTCAGAATAATTTTTTTAAAAAATCACACTTGAAGGAAGTGCTAAATTTTAGAGGTTTGTGGGAAAAAAAGATGTAATTTTTTTTCCTGAGTTCAGAGACCACCAGAAATTTGATGGCTTCTCCTACCTTGGGGATATAAGCAGTAGCATTGCTTGCCCCAGGTTGCCCTCTCAGGTCACATTTCTCAATGTTTTGATTTTTAAAATATTCTTGAATTTGAGTGGAAAAAGAGAGATGTCTCTTTTCCTCAGTGCCAGATCTATTGTGAGTGTTCTTACATTTGTTCTTGAAAAGTCTAAGGACCAGAAGAGAGGATGGATGGCTGGGCTGTCCCGGTAGAACATGGAGGAAACTCAGAGACCCACAGGTCATGCAAGTTCATGCACATACACACACACACACACACACACACACACACACACACACACACACACACACACACACACACCCCTATGAGCTGGAACTGGAGGAGAATGGAGCAGGAGATGGAGGTGTGTGTGTGAACAAAGGTTTGTGTACACCCAGGCCCTGCCATCCATCCACCGCTGCACCCTTAGGGATTCCACACTTCTTCCTCTGCACTGACATTGAACTTTCTCCTATTTGTTGTCTCTCCCACTTAGAGTGTGAGCTTCCCAAGAGGAAGGACTGTCTCAAGTTTTTCTGTTTGCATCATCCCCAGTGCTGAGCACATCAGAAGTACCCAAGAAGTGCTTTTTCATGGATTCCTTCACTCGTTTACTCATGCATTCCAATAAAATCCTTAGCAGGACAGGAACGGGCCTTGGAGGCCGTCTAGTCCAAACTGGACTGAACCAACACACTCATTTCTATGAGATCCTCAACAAGAGGCTTGCAGATCCCTCATGAGAGGCCACTTCCTCCCTCCCCAGCTGCCCAGTTTGGGCACCTCCCGTTGTTCCGATGGCCGGCCAAAATGTTCCTCCCGGCCCATCCCTCCTCGCTCCTGGCCTTGCTCTTTGGGGCCAGGCAGACCAGGGCTAATCCCTCCCGCCTTCCCTGGACAACCTGTCAGAACCCCAGAGGACGGGGTTAAAGGGTCTTCTTACCTTTCCTTGGCTGTCAGCGAGAGCAGGAAAGGAGAGAAGAAAGCCGTTAGTGAGCAGCAGAAAGGCATTGGCTTCTTTCTTTCTGACCCTCTGTACTATGGAGATCATCTTGCCTGACTCGGGGCCCTGTCCCTGCCTTTTCTTGTGACAAAGCAAAATGATGATGCAAAGCCAGCTCATTTGGAGGCAGGGCCTCTCCTGGGGACATTGGGGAATGAGCAGGTCTGAGGGCGCCAGCCTTTCAAACAACTTTGTGGCGAGAGGCTTGAGAGGCATGGGCTGCATGAATCAATGGATGGGGTGCGCGTCTTCCAGGCTCCGTGGCTTTTCCTACCTGGAAGGCTGTTCTGCCTTCTTACTTTTACAGACTTTATAGAATTTTATTTTTCATTGATTTTTAACGATTATCCACAAGCATGAACATTTCTGTACAGAAAAAAGAACCAAAAAGATTTTCACTGAGGCGGAAAGGAGGCTTTGGCCACGAATGGGTTGCTTTAATGCCGCCTTCCTTTCTCTTCTCTGTGATCCGTTAGCAGATCACCCACGCTTCACCTACCACCTCCAATGCTCCTTCTAGGCCAGGAGCCCTAGGAGTGAATCTGCACATGGCCACGGTCTCCCTGAAGGGTTGCTCAAACTGCATTGGAGGTCATCAGAGATCATCGAGGCTGATTTCCTCATTTTACAGAAGAAGAAACTGAGGCCCTAAGAAAGTCACGTACTTGCTCAGGTTCACATAGCTGGCAAGTGTAGGAGGCAGAATTGTAACTCAGCTTCCTGACTCCAAGCACAGCACCCTATCCACTGAGAAAATTTGTCACACCACAACTCAGCTCCCAATGCCTATGGAACGAGGCACCTCCTGTGACATCATTTCACCCAGTGTCGCAGGGATATGCTTGCTGGTATGTTCCCCCCCCCCCAAATTGTTAGCCCCGCTGTGGTCCTTTATGCCTTTCATAGCTCCCCAAACATTTGGCCCAGTGTTTGTATAAAGTAGGTGTTCACTTAATGCCTCATAAACTAAGGCATCTGTTTCAGATTATTTATACTGACCGGACATTTTAAGAGGCTGCATGTTAATAAGTCTAAAAGTATGTGAAGATTGGTTTTAATAGAATTTGTTTTCATTTTCACACACTTGATAATGAATAACCTCAGCATACATCTGAGAGGTACTGTTGGAGACACCATGAAATTTGTGTTGACGTGTGTTTGAAATGGCTGTATTATTTAGTCGTTATTTATGACTATGTCTTGCCAAACACACAGTAATAAAACACTTTTGTGGACGCCCACAGTATTATATACTTGGCTTACATCGCAGCGTTCCCTTTGCCTGTTTACCCTGTTCAACTCTTATCCATAGCTTCCCATAAGTTCACCAGAAGGAGTCCACCCAATGTACTGGAGTCCTTCCATGGGTTTTCCTCACATCATAAAGATGCCAATGGAACAGCCAGTGGTTGGCAATATTGGTGAAATTTGGCAACTGTGACCAGCACATAACAACAACGGTTTGTGCATGATGGGACTTGGGAAGAGCCCCATGTGGGGAACTGAACAACTGATGAATAGTCAGAGCTCCACAAATGAACCAAAGGCAACCTTTTGATGCTAAAATCCAGAACTCTGGGCCTAACTCCGGTTTTATGAGGACTTTATTTAGAAGGTTTGGAAGGCTTCTGGCTATCCCATGCTTCTTAAAGATGGTATGTAGATGACATAAGAATAAATGAATCAAAAACAGATGAATGGCATTCTCTCCCCTCAAAATATATGACCACAAAAAATGCATTTGGCAAAGTACACAGTGGGTGAGAATGAATACAAAATTATTTTTAAAAGTTTGAGCCATTTTACATATTCCAAAGTAACTGTGGGTGGCCTATTCATCAATAAATGCAAATTCCTATATTAGGGTACTAGCAAGGCTGAGAAACTACTTAGAAAGGCATGGCAAAACCAAAAGCTACTTGTTACGTTGTCTTCACTTCAGATATACTTTTGCTGACCTAGTAAATGTTATTTGTATTGTGTAGGCTGGGGGTACTTGACCTTTTCTGTGACATGGACCCCTTGGGTACTCTGGTGAAGCCTAGGGACTCCTCAGAGTTATGTTTTTAAATGCAGACTTGCAAAAAACATGTAGGTGGCAGGGGGGGAAGAAAGGCAGGAAGAAAGAAAGAAAGAAAGAAAGAAAGAAAGAAAGAAAGAAAGAAAGAAAGAAAGAAAGAAAGAAAGAAAGAAAGAAAGAAAGAAAGGAAGGAAGGAAGGAAGGAAGGAAGGAAGGAAGGAAGGAAGGAAGGAAGGAAGGAAGGAAGGAAGGAAGGAAGGAAGGAAGGAAGGAAGGAAGGAAGAGGAGGGAGAGAGAAAGGGAGGGAGGGAGGGAGAGGGACAGGAAGGAAGGAAAGAGAGAGAGGGAGGGAAGGAAAAAAAAGAGAGATGGGGGGGCCACAAATCTGCCTGTTATATAGACCGTTCCTAAAGTTCCTAAGTGGCATCTCAATCCTAACAATGGAATTCTGCCAGCTGGGAGAAAACAACCCAGAACCACTCGGCTCTTTCACGCCTTGAGGACACTAAGAAGGGCCCTTTCTGGCGGCTTTTGACTTTCTTCCCACTACCCTCCAAATAGGATCCTTCTCTGTGTGATTAGCAGCCACATGCCAAAACTAGCACTTAAAGAATGTTTCATTGCTAGAAGTTAACAGATAATAATAATAATGGTTATAATTGTTCTCATCTTACATCATTTTTCTGAATGAAAAAACTATCCTGTGAAAAAATATTTTAGAAACTAGGCACCTTTTGGATTTCCACCTATGCATAAAGACTAACCGTGTTTGGTCAGCTAAGAAAGATGGGGAAAGAACAGCTTCAGATGAAGGGGAAATGATTTGAACCTTTCTAAGTGGGAACCATAACAGAGTAAGTACCACAGCTCTGACTCCCAAGCCGTGGTTACAGGGAAGGACATGCGCGTTCAGGAAAAACAACAACTGGCCGTGGTGTCGGAAGACACTGATTTAAATTCTGGCTCTAACACTGATGCATTTGTATGATCACTTCTTCAACAAACATTTATCGAGGGTCTACTGTATGACAACCCCCATGCTAGGCATTAGGGCCATAAAGAGGAAATGGAAAAACTCCCTGGTGAGTTACTTTACATCTTGGTACAGGGGAAAGAGCATTGGATTTCTAATCTAAGGACCTGGGTTTAAATTCTGACTCTTCTTCCAACTATGTAACCTTGGTATGGCAAATCACTGAATCTCTCTGGAATTCAGCCCCTCACCAGTAAAATGAGGGCTTGGCCTAGTTAGCCTCTGGATCCAGCTCTAGGTCAACAAGCCTCCATTTCCTCATCTGCAAAATGGGGATGATACCACGAACGCTATCCACTGGGGTTTCTAAGACTGAAAATGTCCTAGGTTCATGTGGGACTTGGGGAAAGAACCTTGTTCCTTGTTGAATCCATTTTCTGAAACAGGATTAAGTCCTAGAACTGCTCAGAGGCATTGGAGGCCAAATCTCTCATTTGAGAGAGAAGGAAACTGAGGCCAGAGGAGGAAGTCCCTTGCTGTGGTCATACCAGTCATAAGGGTCAGAGGCAGGATTTCAGCTTAAGCCTGTGACTCCACACAGAGGCACATGAAGGTCTTTTCCACTGTCCTGTACCATGGAACTGCTCTGTAGCTCAGGCAGCTCCTTAGTATTGATCTACTGGGTCCCAGGGAGGGTCTTCCATGGAGGGAATTCTCCACACTGGTGAATCACAAGTCTCTTCAGATAGTCCAGAACACTCTCTGCGTCTCTCTCTGTCTCTCTCTGTCTCCCTCTTTTCCCCCATATATATATATACACATAATCCATATACATTTATCTAAATATACATATACACACAAAATATTATACATGTATCCACACTCTCCACATACATGTACCATGTATGTGTATATATATATGTATACATGCACATGTTTACATATACATGTATGTACTGGGGGACTATAAGTCACAAATTTTGATTTCAATTGTACCTTGTCTCTCCTAACAAAGGTAGAGAACTTTAAAGCTTTAGCAAGGGAAGACATTTGGGAGACCATTTAATCCAATTCTCTCCTTTTACAGATTTGGAGATGGAGGCACAGAAAGGGGAAGGGACTGGCCTAAGGTCAGTGGGAGGCTGGGAGGACTTCCGGACCTTATGTAGCGCTCTTTCTGCTTGAGGCACACCGAGCCTCCCATGGGAGGGCGGGGTTCAGAATCACTAACAGTAAAGCCCGACATTAGTGCTGGGAACCTAGGGCCCCATACCCCACACTCGCTATTGAATTGTTCTATGACAAAGGGTCTCTGTCCACAAAGCAAAGCCAACATGTGTTCTAATTTGGGGGGATGTCTCAAAGATTCCTTTGGACGCAGAGAATTTCTGCACATCTGGACATTCTCTTCCTGCAAGAGGAAGTGCATTAAGAGCAAATAAGTAATGAAAAAGCAGAGCCTCCAGAAGCATGGAGCCACTGACCTGGATCTGCGGGCTGGGGGTGCATGAGGCGGAATGGTAAGTCGGTGCACACTTCACTGTAAGAAAAGGAGAGGATGGGAGTCAATGCACAACCACGGATACATATCTAGTACATGGAGTTCACTCAGAACGAAGGCTAAAGAAAAACTGGGTGATACATCAACTCAAAATCTGTCAGTGGTCAAGTTCAAAATTTTCACGAAAGGCTTCGGCCTCCTATTGTGGCGCCCAGGCGGTACACTCCCAGGCTGCTGATGCTCCTGGTCATCAGCGTCATCGACTCGGTGAAATCTGTGTGGGAGAGGAGTCCTATTTTCTTCCTCGTAAACTAATCTGGCTATGGCATAGAAACATAATATAATATTACTACGCTCTAGGAGACAGTGAAGGGGAACACTTTAGAGAAACACAAGAGGACGTATACGAAGTGACACCAAGTAAAGAAACCAGGGTCAGATGACGATGCAGCATAAATGAAGATGCTAATAGAGAACAAAACTTGGGTCAAACCGAAAAGATACTATTGGTATTCTAGTCCAGTTTTGTAACTCTAGTTCAATTAGCCCCTTTCATGGAGACTTTGAGAGAGAGAGAATAGAATCTTGGGCGCTATACTTTAAGTGTCATGGCTGGAGACAAACTGAGGCACAGAGAGAAAGGATTAAATGAACTTTTCTGAGAGACTGAGTAACTGTCAAGGAAAACGTTTGAGGAGATACTGTGAGAAAAACATTTTGTAAAGAGACGTGAATAGAATTTTTAAGAGAATCGAATGACCATTCTGAGAGCACTGTTTTTCTAGAGTTGAGGAAGAGTTAGTGGCAGCATTGGCGAGAATATTCTATTCCATATCTCTCTTGTAGAGTGGTGACTCAAGCTATGGACTTTACTCACCGTAATCAGTTGTAAATAATTGTTTTTGTTTTATTATTTGCTACTATAATAAACTGCATGAGCTATAACACTGATGTTGTTTAAGCCTATAAAATGGAGCCTGGGAGAGGGTTTGAGTTTGAAAGGGAGAGGGATGAAAGCTTCGGGTAAAAAGTTTCTCTGATTTATAAACTAGGGGCTCAGAGCTAATTTGTTACTTAATGAGACTAGATTTCTGTTTATTTATTAGGTAATATCAGAACATCTCCTGATTGATTGCCTTAGAACCGAGGGAGAGAATTAACGAGGAAATGAGCCAGTAGCAGTTGGACAGAAGTAAGGTTGGCATAGTTTTCAGCTAGAGTAAGAAAACACAGCCCATCCAATCCCACCTAGGCTTCACGTGGGCTGTCATCCTATATAAAATTTGCTACATTAGGCTTGCTACACTATCAAAGTTACAGTACACTTCCTGTTTACTGCCAGCTGATACAGTACAAAAGCCGAAAGGGATGGTTTCCACCAGTGGCATTGACGCTATTAGAAGCAGCTTCACTTAGATGATTTCAGAGATCAAGCTTTTTAGGGGCCATTGTTTGGGCATGTCGTTGCAATGTGTTTATTGTGTCAAAATTAAATGTATCAATTAAAAAAGTAGCCGTCAGAAAGACTGGTGACCAAGAGTGAATGAGATCTTGTATAAGTACAGACCTGTAAAGAATTTATCATGATGCCTGAGGTTCAGAGAAGGAAGAGGAATCAGGAAAGAAAGCAGGGAGAAAAGGACAAATGGAGAAGGAAGAAAGATGAGAGAGTGATTCTCCTCTGCGCTCAGGACCTACGCATACCCTCTTGTCTTATGACCTCTTTGGCCAAAATATTGCTGTTTCTTCCAGAATCATTCCTGCCGGGGGGAGGGGTCAAGATAGGCCTCCAGGCCGAAGGTGGTCCCTGAGCTCAGCTCTGAGTGAAGCTGGAGATTCCATGAGGCTGAGGTGAGATGGGTATGGGGACCCAAAGCCTGGAGAAGCAATACCGCGTATGGGCACAGCACGGTGGCCAGTTTGGTTGGAACACTGAGGACATGAAGGAGACAGATGGGCAGTGGGGCTGGAAAGGCCGGTGCAGCTGGAGGTGCCCCTTGAGCAAGGGACTGATGTGCTTTAGGACTATCACTCCGGCAGCTGGGCTGAGGATGGCTGGAGACCAGAGAGACTGGAAGAATGGGGGCAGGGGACTAATTAGCAGGCAACTGAAATTGTCTATGGGGGAAGTGATGGGGCTTGACCCAAGTGGTGGTTGTACTAACGGAAAGGAAAGGACAGACTAAAAATGTGACTGAAGTAGAATTGACAAGATTTGTAAACAGACTGGATGTGGGGTTGGGGGAACATGGGAAGGGTTAAAGATGATTCCAATATTGTGACCCGGAGGAACTGGATGTTGGGAAGAGCGGAGCATTTGGGGCTGCAAGATGAGTTCTACTTCAGACACGATGAGCTGGAGATGCTTAGGAGACACCGAATGTGAAATGGCCAGTGGGCAACAGGAGTTTAGGGGAGAGATTCGGGCTGAGAGTTATCTGCAGAGAGAGAAGAGCTGCATTCATGAAAGTAGATGAGAAAAAGAAAGGGAGAGGTGGAGGAGAGAGAGAAAGAGAGAGAGAGAGAGAGAGAGAAGAGAGAGGAGAGAGAGAGAGAGAGAGAGAGAGAGAGAGAGGCCTTATTTTAATAATAAGGACGACAATGGAAGAAAGTAGATCAACTTACCTAGAGGTGAGGTCTCCCAGAAAGCTAGGAAACAAAAAGAATAGAAAGGTGTTAAACCACGGAGCTCCACATATTTCAGGTATTAATGGAGGCTCTCAACACCATGGCCAAGTTCAGGAACTTTCTCCTCCTAGCTCATCTCAGCTCCGTGAGCCCACCACCCACTTACAACTTCATTCTTCAAACTCAAAAGGACTAGGTAAGAACTAAAAATCACTGCGGTTCAGGAACACAAGGGAACCAGATGAAACCAGAGGATCAGTCCAGTTCTGGGAAAGGGTTCTGGATCTGCGGCAGGAGACTCAACCTGGGGTCATAACTTTGCCTCTTCCTGCCAGTGTGACCCTGGATGTTTATCCCAGAAACTGGGCCTCAGTTTCCTCCTCTGTCAAGTGGGATGGTTGGATCTGATGGCTTCTGAAGGTCCTTTCTAGCTCAGATCTATCATCTGATGATCAGACTGTCTCTCCAGGGTGCCAGGAGATGATGAAACCTCTCGGTTATTCGTTGTCTGTCCTTGGAACTCAAATACTATTTTTTATATCCATATGGGGAAAAAGAAGAGAGAGCTTCCCATTTTAAGAAGTATTGCTAATGGGAACAATGTGTGAATGGAACCTATTTACAATGAGTGGAAATATTCCTCCCTACTTAGGATTTAGTGCAGGGAAGGAACCTAGAAGTACAAATATCTCCTTTTACTTGGAGACAGTACTGTCGGTGACTTGGCCATGGCCCCCTCAGAAGTCAGTGGCTTAGGTATGTACATCAGTCTGACTTCCAGACTGTGCCCCCTTGGGGCAGGGGGGCAGAGCCAGGTCCTGAGCTAGGCCTGAGGGCAGCTCCCAAGGCTGGGAGGCTCAGCCTTTGGGTGATGGGAAGAGCTGGAGCTCTGACGAAGCCCTCCTCTGGAGAGTCGCAAAGGGAGAATCTGATTTTCCAGATGTGAGGATTTGTTTGGAACTCTGAGATGTCTGGATACTTTCCAGAAAAGCATAACACTTATCCATTCCTCTAAGCACAGTTGACCCAGTGAACAATACACCAGAGACCTGGAGAGCTGAGGATCACATGCTAGGCCGACCAGACTCCTGAGCCGTGGTTTTCCCCTTCATCCCCCTTCATTCCCAACTAGAGACTCATTGTAGCCAAATGAATGAAAAACTGAGGAGGTCTCAGATGGACATTTAAAATATGCTTCTTTGAGACCATTTTGGGAAGTAATGAGTAGGGAGTATTCCCCTTAGCTCCTTGTTCCTCTTAGATATGTAACTAGGGTAGGACGACTGGGGCTTCGTCCTAGGGTGCTGCCATGAGAAGACAAGCTTCCACCCTGTGCCTCACAACCTACGGTCCTCCACCAGCCTGCACCGTGTACTCTTATTCTCTCTGAGACACTGTCCTCTTTTTGGGGATCCTCCTTTTCCCCAAGACCCCCAGAAACACAGGCAGACTCTTAAGACATCAGGTCCTCCTCTAAGACATGTTAGTCCCCTTTAGACTGTCCGTCCCTCTTGCCCCTGCTGCCTTTCACTTCTTTTTGGCCCAGGTGAAAGAATTCTTATTCAATTGGGTAGGCCCAAGGACAGGTGAATAGCTGAGAAGAGCCTCAAAGGCCTTTCCCCCTTCCCTACAAACAAGATGGAGATGACTCCCTTCATCTTAGGATACTTACCCAGAGACAGTGAGCTTCACTTTGATCTGATAAGCCACCAGGATTCCCAGCACTGTTCGGTCTATCCCCTCCTTGATACTGCCCAAGAAGAGAAAAAAAAGTGAGGGTGATGGTCCACAAAAGGGGCATTTAGGGGCCTGGTGACAGGTAAACAAATAGTCCTTTCTTTGTTGTTTCACATGTGAAGTCACAACAAGAAATACACTCTTGAGACACTGGAGAACTGAGCCAGAGAGCGAGAAATCCAAGAACTTAATACCAACTGTGGGGGAAATTCACCTCACTTCCTGGTGACCTCCCAGTGTGGAAACCCCTTCCTTTTGCTGAGCCTCACCTGTAACCTTGAGCATCGCTGGGGCTCTGGTCCCTCACGTGACTTCTCCTGGTTGGGTCATGAAGTCAAGAAATGTCCAAGGCTTGACTGGAGACCAAATCTTCCTAATTCTGAGGCTGGTTCTTCATTCACCAGCCCTCCCTGCCTCTCTCTGACTACTTACTCTGGCTAATTAATTGGTAAATTTGGTAGTTTCTATATGACAGCAGTGTTCACATTGTTGCAGCCCTCTAAACTTCAGGGCTCTGGGCTAAAGCCCCGTCACGTGGTGAATCCTTGTCTCTGTGTGCCTCTGCATGGTGTGAACCTCATCTGTTCCACTGATGGGTTTCTCAGTTTTTTGACCAGTATTAAACTGTTTTGAGAATTCCTGCTTTGTAGTCTAGATCAAGATCTGGTATGGGTGGGCCCCCTTGGTTCCACTGTTTTTCATTATGAACTTTTTTGCCTCTGTAGGAATTTTGTTGTTATTTTTCTAGTTCTATAAATTAATCCTTAGGTAGTTTGGTATGGAATTGAATAAGTAAATTAATTTGGGTAGTATTGTAATTTTTATTATATTCACTTTTCTTGCCCATGAACAATGAATATTTCTCCAATCATTTAGGTCCATCTGTATTTCTATAAACAGTGGTTTGCAGTTGTATTTACATAATTCTTGTGTTTATCTTGGTAGTTAGATTCCCAAGTATTTTATGTATTTTATAGTTATGTGAAGTGGCTATGACCCTATCCTAAAGCGTCCCTCACCTTGTTGTGGGGGGAGGGGAGTACGAGGAAGCTGCTTCTTAGTCTTAGAAGTCTTAGCAGAAGCTGCTTCTGCTCCTGAGAAGAACAGCCAGCTTAAGTCAGACGTAGGGTACTACTACTATTAATAATATAATAATACCAGCTAGTATTTGTAGAATGCTTTAAGGTTTACAAAGTGCTTTGCAAATATTATCTCATTTTCTCCTCACAACGACCTTGGGAGGGAGGTGTTCTTATTATCCCCATTTTACAGGTGAACAAACTGAGGTAGATATCAGTTAAGTGATTTGTCCAGGGTCACCCAGCCAGTGAGCGTCTGAGGCCAGATCTGAACTCAGGTCTTCCTGATTCAAGGCCTAGGTATCTGCGCACTATTGAACCACCTAGTGAAACCAAGTGTGAGATTACAGGCTATCACCAAGTTTTAAACTTCCAGGTTTTGGCTGGAGTGGCGGGGAGGAGTACAGCCTCAAATGTATAGCAATGGGATCTCCCATTTACCCACTGACAGAGGGATTTCCATGAAGATTCATTAGACTTCAAGGGACAAGGAATTTGCAGCGTGTCACTGTGCTGGTTTATAATCAGTTAGCTTTTCACACGCCTCTGGCTTGGCTCTGGCCTTGCGGTCCACGCTCACTTTCCTTTGGACTGGATTCCCAGGTGTGTCCCTAACCTCGTCACACCTCCCTTTCACCCCTAGCTAGTGCATCTATTTGTTACTGTCTGGGGCTGAAGAGCAGCTTAGGGAGACAGGGTTCTCATAAGTGCCGTCCCCGTTCAGGCCATCTAATGACTTTGTTCTCTTCCAGCTGCACGGGCATCCAGGACTCTTAACTCCCTGCAGCCACCATGAAGATGGACCAAGGAAACTCATCCCCACCCCTGAAATGAGAGCTCCAGGTCCAAGGGAGTCGGATCTCCGTGGACAAAGGTTACAGTCATAGAAAAGGTCCTCCCTACTGAGTGCCTGTGAATAGAAAGATGGCAGGTAGCATAGCTTAATGGAGAGTGCTAGACCTCATGTCTAGACTCTGGGTTCAAATCCTGCCCCAGACACCTCCTAGCTGTGTCATGTTGGCCTAGTCACTTAAGCTCTCTGGGCCTCTGTTTCCTTATCTATAAAATATGGGGTGGGGGAGGCTGGCTGGGTGGCCTCCCTTCCTGTTCTAGATCAATGACCCTATGACCTCTCTGGGCCTTGGTTTCTTCATTTGTAAAATTGCTTGGATAGCCTCTAGGAACCCTTCCAGCTCTTGAACTATGACCCTGTAACAGTGTTGCCCGGTGCTGTGGTTTATGACAGCATTGGCTGGTGTCACCTCAAAGAACTCACATGGTGCTGGAGGCCAAGTTTGTATCTTCATGCTTGATTTTTCCATCCAGGGCAATGCCCCGCCTTTCTCGATTATTAGCAAGTAGGGGGGTAAGTGTCAATGTCTTAGTTAAGGTTCCGTTTGGTGGCACTTTTTCACTAGAAAGAAAAAAAATAAAAACTTGTCAGAATTGCACATTAGAAGCCCCAAAGCCCCAGAATTAAACCCAGACTCGCCATCTCCTTTTATGGATAGACATTCCTCTTTCCAGATGGCCAAAGTTCATGGGGAAGCCCAGGAAAAAAAACCCCCAATAACAACTGCAACCCCCAGTAGAGAGGCTTGAGAAGTCTCCCATAGAAAAACCGAGAACATAATTAGGTAAAATGTAAACTAGGCCAGTCACAAAGCCAAGACACTGTGTGAAGGGAGCTAACACACTTGCAGTCACTTTCATTGTTAGCACAGCACATTGTGGACATCGAACAGAAACCTCGGACTGAGTTTGGACTAACAGGAGATAGAAGCAGTGGAGAGTGTGGCACTCAAGCCAGGGGGCCTGGGTTCAAATCCAGGCTCTCTCTTGGTTACCAGTATGACTGAGGCAAGCCTCTCAGGGCCTCAGTTCCTCATCTGTCCTGTGAGTGGGTCAGCCTGATTGGCCTCGGGGGCCCCTTCCAGCTCCAAATCAATGACCCTATGAGCCTCCTCGTTAGAGGACACCACCCCAGCCTACGTCACAGTCCCAGTCTCTAGGGAGAGTCAAATAAGAGCCCGATGGCTCTGATGGGGATCTGGGTCCACTTGGGACTTATGCAGTCCTGTGGAGAGGAGGTTCTATGTGTCTGAAATGCGAGAGTCGAATGTTTAAACGTGTGCTGTAAACTTTTATTTAGGTCTGTGTTTTCATGTGGTGTCATATCATGAAGTGGCCATTTTGAAAATAAGTTGTAATGTAAGTAATGTAACACATTAGTTTTACAAATCAGTTTGTATTTCCCGATGCTCTCGCCCACCTGAAGTCCAGGGGGCTGCCATGCTTGGTAACTAACTAGACAAAGCCGCAAAACCTTGAGTGTGCAAAGAAGGAGCACAGAGCCAGAAATCCAATCCTCAAAGAAGTCTGGGAAAGAAGGGGGCCATGGCTTTCCTTGCACCAAGCGGCATCTGCCCCAACAGAGGGGAAGCAGGCCTTGTTTCACTTTTTCTCTGTAAGCCTGGTGACCAGCACGATGCCTGGATAGAGGTCGATGTTCGATAAGCGCCCCCTCCCCATCAAACGCAGCCTCCTGGAGAGCAGGGATTGCTTCATTTTTATTTTGGCATCTCCAGAGTGGCATATGTATAGCTAGGGCTTAGTAAATGCCTGTCTATTGACTGATTGGACCAAAGATGATCGATGTGACCGTTAAATACATTTACCATTTTGTGGTCGACAGGTCTTTTATCAAGCACTTTCTATGTGTGCCGGGCCCTGTGTTGGGTGCTGGTGGTAGGGTCTGGACCTTCCTTGAGGTCCTCATCATGACAAGCAGGCAACCCTGAGTTCTCAAGAGCTGTATAGGTAAAGTGGAAGCCCTGGGTGGTCCTTCCAAGACGGAAAGGCTCCAAGGAGGGGCTGACAAAGGAGTGGCCCAGGTAGGCATGGAGAGACTCTACACCAGAATGCTATGTCTCATCTCCCACTTCCATGTCTTTGCATGACACACACTTTCCTCATCACCACCTTTTAGACCATACAATCCCTAGTCTTCTTCCAAGCCAACTACCAGTGTCTTCTTCCCCTCCTTAAATGAAATTACTTTTGTTTACTCTTTGTTCTGTTTTAGCTTGTGTGGGTCCCTGTTGTCTCCTATTAAAATGTAAACTCCTGAGGACAGGTCAGTTTCACTTTTGTTTTCCGGTCACCAGCACCCAACACAGGGCCTGGCACACATAGAAAGTGCTTAATAAAAGACCTATTGACCACAAAATGGTCACATTGATCATCTTTGGTCCAATCGGTCAATAGACAGGCATTTACTAAGCCCCTGCTATACACATGCTACTCTGGACATACCAAAATAAAAATGAAGCAATCCCCTGCGTTTGGTGGGGAGGGGACACTTATTGAACATCGACCTCTAGTCAGGTATCGTGCTGGTCACCAGGCTTACAGAGAAAAAGTGAAACAAGGCCTGCTTCCCCTCTGTTGGGGCAGATGACGAGGACACACAAGCCTAGGCAAGATCGGCCCATTTTGGGGGGCGGGGCAGGGCAGCAGCAGCCACTGCCAGGATAACCCTGAAGACGCATGGATGGGCCCAGGCTAATCCGACTGGCCCCTGCCGAGGGTCTGCGTGGACCCCGTGTGAGGCCAGCCCAGGCTATCTCGAGGCCTGACGGTGGCAAGGACAGCAGAGGGGCCATGGCCAACGGTGGGTCTTCCCTGCTTCCCCTTCCTCACCCCCTGTCCTGCAGACCAGGCAAACTGAGTGAAATCAGAGCAAGACACTCCTGGGCCTCTGGGAGGCCAGAAAGAAGGGGAAGGGGAGGAAGAGCTACTCACTGGGCCTCCTCTGTGGCTACAGGTTTGACGTAGTAGTCACTCGAATACAGGACCACGTTGGCGACTTGTTCCACTGCAAAGAGAAGAGAGAGACGGGTTCTGAAGGGAGTGATGGGAGCCAGTTCATAGAGGCCTTTGAGCCCCGCCAGGCCATCTCAGACACCAGGTAAGTGGGCAGCTGTGGGGTCATAGGGCACAGAGCCCTAGGCCTGGAGTCAGGAAGGCCTGAGTGCAAATCCAGCCTCAGACACTAACTAGTCGTAGGGCTCTGGGCAAATCGCTTCACCTCTTCTGCCTCAGTTTCCTTATCTGTAAAATGGGGATACCAATGGCACCTTCTGTGAAAATTGTGTCAATGAACATTTGTAAAGCACTATGCAAACCTTAAGTGCAACATAAATGTCAGCCATCACAGTATGGGGATGTGAGCTCAGCCTTCGGAGGCTCACGGAAGCGCCCTCCGGACAAACCCTGGAGCAGGCAGGAGGGTGGGGGTGGGGGTGGGGGAGCAGACAGACCACCTCCTGTTCTCACGACATCCACACCGTCTGTAGATTCTAAGGCTGCTAGGTGGTGCAGTGGGTAGAGTGCTAGACTTGAAGTCAAGAAGACCTGCATTCAAATCCTACTTCAGAGACTTACTTCGGCAAGTCACTTTAGTTACAGCAGCTTCAGTTTCCTCATCTGTAAATTGGGGATAGTAATAGCACCCACCTCCCAGGGATATGCTATATAAAGTTTACCATTATTATTAATTAATTAATTAATAGTAGTAGTATTTGGTATGTCAACATCTATTAAAACATTCCAAATTTTTTTATGGAAAAACGGTTTGGTTTGGGATAATGAGTGGATTAGTTGAATTCTCAAGGATATTTCAGGGCCTCTATTTGTAATATGGAGATGTGTGTCGGTTTGTGAAAGAGGCTGAGCTTTTGGTGTGTCATTCTGGCCCCCAGCTCATCTCTTTATAAGTGCGTGGCCATACTTTGAGAAGCTGATGTTGACCATTTGATTTTGTGCTTTTCTGGGACAGCAGAGTCAGCCACATTTAATCCCAGGGTCCTCATTTAGCACAGCCCAGTCCAAAAACTGACATAGAAAGAGAGAAGCAAGGGCCTAGCGCTGACTGAGGATGCCACAGGGGTGGTTTCTTCCTACCCAACACTTTAATCTTCTTCACGGTCTTCTCTGTGTTATTGGTCACACTCACAGTCACAGGAATTGGCTCACCATGGAAATAGATCTGAAAAAAATGAGCACATGGTGATTAACCCACTTCCTTAACCTGATGGCCTTCCAACATGGCGGGGCCAGCTCCTCTGGGGAGGGTCTGTGTGGCTGGAGCCCTGAGTTATAGGGAAGAGAGAGCAAGGGCGACGTGTTCTTCCTGTTTGGTCCAGGGGAGGAGGCTCTCGTTGGGAGGGGGGCCAAGAATGGACGATCAGAGAGCGGGGATGACTAATGCTCTGTACGCCACCACTGTTTAACCAGTGAGGCTGGCTTGAGTTGTCACTTCAAGAGCTGACAGTTACTGACATGCCTCTCTGGGCATCACCTGCTTCCCCAAACCCTCTGACCAACAAAGCCGAGCTAAGAAACAGACCGATCGGGACAAGGCTTGCTAGGGGGCTCCTGCTCTTGCTCTCAGCAAGCATGCCCCTCTTCCCAAGAACCTTCCCAGAACGCCCACTCTGAAGAGCATGGCCCTCTACCTTTTATCAGTGACTTGGATAGAGGCCTAAATGGGATGTCCGTGTCCATGGAATGGAGAGTGGACAACAGTCAGGACCCAAAAACGTCCTGAAGACCAGAGCATTGGGCTGAATCTATCAGGATAAAATTCAATAGGCCTAAACATAAATTCTTACACTTGGTCCAAAAAAAAATCAATTTATTTTCTGAATCCAAGTGTAAGAATTCACCTCTTGCCCTACTGAATCTTCCCAGGTAGATGATGGGGGAGCTACGATTAGAGCATAGCACAACAGGACCTGGGGGTGTCCGTGGCCAGCAAGTTCCCTACAAGTTAGTACTATGACCCCAAAGAGCTAATGCAAACTTGGGCTGATTAGCAGAATCATAGTTTTCAGGTACAGGGAGGTCACGGCCCCTCTGCCCCTGTTCTGAAGCCTGTATCTGGAATTCAGTGTGAAGCATCACAGGTAAGAGGAGCACTGAGAATCGGGAGGGCAACCAATAAGGGGAAGGGGCTGGACTCGATGTCACACAAGAACAGGCTGAAGAAGCTAGAGATGCTTCGTCTGGAAAGAAAAGGCTTGCAAGCTGTTGGGGGTTGGAGGAAGAAGCTTCTGAATGAAGGGCCTTCCTGTGAACGGAGGCTAAGATGTGTCCCACTTGGCTCTAGCACCTCTGGGTAGACCCTGGGAAAAGCAGATCCAGTCTGAATGAAGGGGAAAAGCATGCTAACAACAAAAAGCATGCCAAAGTGGGATGGGCTGCCTGGGGTGGGGTGGGGGGCACCTGCTCTCCTCCTTACTGGGTCTGACCCTGGGCCTGGAGAAGCTGGGATGACAGCATCCTTAGCCAGCAGGAAGACAGAATGGCCACCAGCCGCCCAAGGAATGAGCAGCCTCTGGGACTGCAGAGGCTTCCACCAGAGGTCTTCAGAGGCTGGACAATCCACGTATGGGATGTTCCAATGGGGATTTTTTAGGGCACGTGTTGGACTAATGGCAGCCCAGGTCCCTTCCAAATCTAAAAGGCTGGGGTTCTCTGACTCCTCCCAGACAGCCAGGGGCTCTATCCTAGTTGGGATTCCCCTTGGAGAAAGGTCTCCTTTTAAAGAAGGGAGCTGAGTCAGCAGCTGGGAGCTTGCTGTTTCTGTATTTTCAACTTTCTGCTGCTGAAGCTGCCAAGTTCTCTGGTTTTTTTTAAAGGGTCATTTCTGGGTGAGCCCATCCCTGGTCTCCAGGAGGGTCTGTTCATTGAGGCAAACTGCCTTCCTGAAGCCATGACTTCTTTTTGCTCCGGGGGCATCCTCATGACGTCAAGAGGAAAGGAGGAAGGGCCCCAGCAGATCGGGTGGCACGGGGTGGGAAGGCAGGGACAGGCAGTGATCTGCAAGGTTGGAAGCAGTGCCCTCGGGGAGGAGATCCCTGCTCCCCCAGAGTTCTGGAATGATTTCGCAGCCTCCGAGCACCCAGGAGAGCATCTCAGATGTGCAGTGCCTGGAGGTATGTGCGTGGGGGAGGATGCCAAGAACAAAGACTCCCTTCCCCCAGAGAGGTGTGCTCATTACCTCCTTGCTGAGAGAGATGGCCAGGTGCAGAGGCTTGTCCGACATGAAGAACTGCCAGGCCGTCTCCATTTGGGGCTGGGGCCCCATTTCAGGAGGGGCATGCTGGACTTTGCGGATCAGCAGGCGGACGGAGCTCCTGTGGAAGCAGAGAAACTCAGGTTTTCTGGGATTACCTTCCCTGCCAACTCAGAGCTCCCAACTGGACCCTCATCCACCCTTCATCTTTGTTGGGGGCAATTCACCCGCCTCAGTTTCCTCATCTGTAAAACACTCTCATTTTTAGGCTGGCTGGCCTCCAAAGTCCCTTTTAGCTCTGAGTCAGGGACGCTGGAGGAGCTGGAAGTGGAAGGAGGGGTAGTGAAGGGATGCTGGAGGGAGGGGCTGGGAACCCTCATCTTACTTTTTGGGCACTCTTTCCTCTTCCGTGTCTGTGATGTCTGTGGCATATGCTTTCACCTCAAAGTCCACTCCGCAACACTGAGAAGGATCAAAAGAGAAAGAGAGCCAGCGACCACCGTCAGTGCCTCATTTTCTGGCATTCGAGGCTCAGAAAACCAGGAAGCTTCTGCCTCATCTTAGAGAGGTACCACATGGCCAGGCCCTTTTAAGGGTTAGGCCACCTCTTCCGTGGGCGGCTCGTATTTAATGATAATCCAATAAATAACAAGTGATAAAAGGTGGAGCCCCCACTCTGTGCTGGAAGCTTCCATCCCAACTACCTGTAAGTCACTAAACCAGGATGGGCCTCAGCATCTTCATTAGTGAAATGAGAGGCTAGGGCTGGACAGCTCCTGGGGTCCCCTCCAGCTCTACACTGTGAGCCTCGGCCCTCCCGATCTATATCGACCATTTTGTGCCAGCCCACGAACTCAGACACTGGGCTTGTTCCCGATGGATTTAGCCCATAATCAAACTGGATTATGTGGCTGAATACGGACTTGGACTCAGCAAGAGCCGAGTACAAATCCTGCCTCAGACACTTCTAGATGTACGACCCTTGCGCTGAAATGCTTAGTCTCAGTTTTCTCATCTGTAAGATGGGGATAATAATAGCGCCCATCTCTCAGGGTTTCTGAGACAACCGAAAGAGACAACATATAGAGCATGTCATAAGCTTTAATAGCTTACAAAATCCACCCAGACTTTTGGGGTGCCCTGTACAAATGTTAGCTAACATTCTTACTATGGAGTTTGACCATGGGGAGGCCACACATTTTCCTGGGAAAGCTCCTAAAGCAATGTCAGCTCCACCGCCAGGCTGGGAGTGCCCACTTCCTGGGCAGGAGATTAGGGGGCTCTGTGGCTCACTCCTCCTGGGGCCCTGCCCCACTCACCTTGCCCACATCTTGAGGAGCTGGCTGAAGAGCAACTGAGCAGGGCAAGTAGTCAGGAAACTGAGGAAGAAGAGAGAAAGTCCTGAGGGCAGGATATTTGGGAGGTGATTGATCAGCCAAGCGACTGATCAGTCCAACAGCAAGCCTTTATTAAGTGCCAAGTATGTGCCAGGCACTCTGTTCCAAGATGGCGATGTCGCAGCCACCCAGGGTTTCCAGATAGATTCGATTTGTTTTTTGTTCATTATTTAATATTTTATTTTCCCTCCAATTACACGTAAAAACAATTTTAACACTTTTTTTTCAAATTTTGAGTTCCAAATTCTCTCCCTCTCCTTCTCCCCTCACTGAGAAGGCAAGCAATATGACATAGGTTATACACGCAAAGCTTTGCAAAACATATTTCCATGTAAGTCATTCTGTGAAAGAAAACACAGACAAAAAAATCCAAGAAAAATAAAGTGATGAAAAAGTATCTCTGATCTGCATTCAAACTCTTCCAGTTCTTTCTCTGGAGATGGACAGCACCCTTTATCCTAAGTCCTACAGAATTGTCTTGAATCATTGTATTGCTGAGAACAGCTAAGGTATTCATTTCATTTTTTTAATTAAGTTTTTTCAATGAACAAAAATTGCTTTTTTCCGTCTCCCCTCTCTCCTTCCCTCTCCCTCATTGGAAGAAATAGGAAAAATAAAACTCTTGCAATAAATATGAATGGTCGAGCCAACAAGTTCCTGCATCTGCACCCACTTCAGGGTGATGGATGTGGGCTGCCTGCTTTACCCTCAGGCCTCCCGAATCATGGGGCAGCCATGGAATTGATCAGAATTCTTACAGTTTGTTTTTACATCGTTGTTATTTATTACATTGTTGTTATTATTTATGCCAAAAATATTATATTTATTATTATATGTATATCAGAAATATTATACATTTCTATCAGAAAGGATTGAATTTAAAATACCATAAAGATGTTATTTTGAGAGGCGGCATGATGTAATGGGGGCCGCTAGGTGGCGTAATGGATAGAGCACCAGGCTTAGAGTCAGAAAGATTCCTCTTCCCGAGTTCAAATTTGGCCTCAGACACTTACTAGCTGTCTGACCCTGGGCAAATTACTTCACCCTGTTTGCCTCAGTTTCCTCATCTGTACAATGAGCTGGAGAGAAAACGGCAAGCCCCTCCAGTAGCTGTGCCAAGAGAACCCCACGGGGGTCCTGGAGAGTCAAACACAACTGAGAATGACTGAACGATAACAATATGATATCATGGCCTGAGAGCTGGCTTCAGGGTGGGGAAGACTACCCTGGGGTGGCGGGTTTGAGTACTGGCTGTGTGTGCAAGTGTGTGTCAAGACAAGCATAAGATGCAGTGAACCCTGGGGAACACGGGCACTTAAAAGGCTGAGCTGCAGGGCAGGCTGCATCTACATTGGTGGCACAGGGTTTTTCTTCACTGAAAGCTCCCTACTGTGATGGTACCAACCCCCTCCCCCCAAAAAAAGATAGGCTTAGTTCCTGTTTCCCCTCACGGGGCCTGGCAGCTTTGGGGATCTGGGAATGGGACGCGGAGGGAGGAGCGGGCCAGCGTCGGTGGGGGGGGCACACTCACCGTGAGAAGAAAAGGGTAAGCGTTAATCCCCAGCTTCTTCAGCAGGCTCTCCTGCAGTCTGGTTGGCGTGTGCCCTGTGTTGATGGGAGGGTACGCTTGCACCCTGGAGAAATAAAGGTCTCTGCGGAAGGTCAGGCCGATGACATCGATGTCTTCCTGGCCGTAGCGGAAGGCGCACGTCAGAGACACAAAGACTGTGCAGAAGAAGATGGCAAGGTTAGCGCCTCGTGAGCCTGCGCCTCGGGGGGCGGACTGGGGGGGGGACGTGTGCTCCACAAAGTCCGGGGTCCCCTGGGATTGAGAAGAAGACCCACCCTGTTGGCTTCCGTCAATGGGTGCCCACCCGATGACTGGTTTTCAAGGATGACCACGACTAGATTCACCAAAGCATCGTGGACCCCATGTCCTTCAGCCCAGGCTGATTCTTAAAAAGTTACAGATCCTGCGTTAAGAGCAGGAGCACACTTCAGAATGTCACACACATTTGCTTGGTTTCCATGTACCCCAGGACCTGCAATCCTTTAGACATCAGGTACATTTCCAAGGGAGCATAGGAATTCTTCTGGGCTGTCCTTAGTCTGGGAATAACAGATGTCATTGCCATTCCCCAACTGGAATTATGGGACTGAACAAGTCAGGTCATCAGTCAGTCAGTAAACATTTATCAAGCATTTGCTGTGTCCCGCAGTGGGATAAACGCTCCAGAGAGCTCAAGACAGTCCCTGCCCTCAGGGAGCTTACACTCAAATGGGGGAGATCACAAGCAAGCAAAAGTGTGCAGAAGAGTGCCAAACCACATAACTAGGAAATAAACAGGAGAGGGAAGGCCCTGGGATTTAGGGCAGTTGGGGAAGGCTTCCTGTAGAAGGGGGACTTTAGTTGGGACTGAAAGGAAACCAGGATGAGGAGGAAGAGTGCTCCAGGTATGGGGAAGCTGGGAGCTGGGTGATTCAGCCTTGGTTCTAAGACTGCCGCTGTGATTTCCTACCTGTGTGACCTTAGTCCCTGGGCTCAGTTTCCTCATGTCTATGAGGAGGAGGTTGGACTGGACAGGCCCTGAGCCCCCTTCCAGCTCATGGTCCCTCCTGAGCGTCTAAGAAGACGAGCTTGTCCTAGGATGGAGCTGGATGTGATAAAAAGAAGGCTCTCTGTGCATCGGGCATCGGCCATCGGCCATCGGCTATCTGGATCCGAGGAGGCCTTTTAGTCCCAAGAGCATGGAACACAAGCCCAGGGAGGGTCAGTGCGAGCCATCGTCCATCCAGCTGCCAAACCGAGGCACTCCCCAGACTGGTCTGATCATGCCCCAGAGCCTCGTGGGGCTCCCTGGGGGCCTCCCCCATTTCGCTGTGGAAGTCCTCCCGCCCCCAGCATTCCTCACCCGAATTGCTCTCCTCTGTCCCCTCCCCGTGACACAGCAGCCTGCTTACTGTCCAGTCTGCATATCTGCCTTTCACTCAGCCTGTGGCCGCTGCGGGCCATCCCCACGCCTGGAAGGGGCTCCTTCCTCGCTCTCCCTCGGAGAATCTCCGGCTCCCTTCCTAACAGGGCTCGGACACCGCCGGCCTTTCCTGGGCCCTCCCCCAGTGACCCTGAATGGCTCTTGTCTCCACATTGCATTTACTCTTCTGCGGAAGGGACCGAAGCTCTTTGAAGGCAGGGACTGGTTTGTTTCCGTCTCCATCTGCAGCCCCTGCACCCCCCATGCTTCCTAAGTGCTGCTTGCTGGGTGATGGACAGAGCTCGCCCACCTGCTCTGACCCAGCTGCAGGCTACTTATTTTGAGTTTACTTTTCTGGGTGCACATCATCTCCCCGATAGGATGTAAGGTCCTGGAGGTCAGGGCTGGTTTGGTTCGGCTTCATGTTCTCAGTGCCTAGGATGGTGCCTGAAGCACAGTAGGTGCTTCATAAATGCTTGTCTTTCAGACAGATTTCAGAACATAAGTCTGCCTCACCTTTCTTCCCTTTCACGAGCTCAGGATCGACCAGGACGACGCCATCTGGACCAAAAGGAGAGAATCCCAGTGAGGAGGACGGAGCCACTCAGACCAGCAGCGTTCTCCTCGTGCCCCTTGACTTACCCACGGGCTCCACCTGATCGACGTGGTCGATGTAGTCCCTCTTCCCCAGGTAGATGGTCACCTGCGGGAAGGACGGGAGAGGTCTGAGTAACCTTCACCAATGAGGCAAGCATGGGAGAAGCGCCTTCCTGGGGGGAGTGGTGGAAAGACTCCTCCCTGGGCTCTGCACTGACGCCTGTACAGCCTCAGGCAGGCTGCTTCACCATTCTGGGCCTGTTTCCCCGGAAGTGAGAGGAGAGGGTCAGGAGGGGGTGGAGCTTGAAGGTCCATTCTGTGGCCTGTGACATCAGCCTCCAGAGAAGCCTGCCTCCACCCTGGGTCCCACAGTGGGACCCATCTGGAGGCATCCTGGATGAAGGGCTGACCCTGGGCTAAGTTCACTCAGTCTCCTTTCTGATGCCAGGATCACAGAACTGCAGCTGTAGGAGACCCTCAGGGCCATTTTAATAAAGAAAAATCTAAGGTGGGGAGGGGAAGGGGGGGAGCACAGGGGGAGTGACAGGGCCAGGATTCAGACCCAGGTTCTCCCCCTCCCCTCCCCCTCCCAAAGCTTCATGTCTCTCTTCCTTCTCCCTGGAACCCTCCTCCCTTTTCCAAAGCAGACAAGGCCCCAATATCCTCAGTACTCATCCCTTAAGCCGCCTCTCATTAATTGAGGAATGATTTGTTTCTCCTAAAAGATCTTGGTGGCTTGAGTTGGGGACCTCTACTGTTGAGAGTCAGTTTGCTGGGGTAGACAGAGCCCCGGGCCTGGAGTCAGGAGATGAGGCGTTATTGGCTGTGTGACCTTGGGTCACCTTCACCTGTCGTGGTCTCAGGGGAGCTGAGCTCAGACGGCTCAGAAGGCCCCTGCCAGCTCGGACATTCAGTCACTGGCCCTGCCTCCACGAGCAAGGCCGGGTTCTCAAGTTCCTTGCTCCTTGCTGAGGCTCATGGAGACCACAGAAAGCCCAGGGTCATGGACTGGGAGCTGGAAGGGACATTAGAGGCCACTGAGTCCACGCCTTCATTTGACAGATGAGGAAACTGAGCCACAGAAGTTAAGTGACTTGCCCAAGATCATACAGCTATGTAAGGTAGGATTTGAACCCAGGTCTTCCTGACTCCAAGTCTAGCGGCCTAATAGCTGTTTGGGGTGAGAGAGACTCTCTCATGAACATTTTTCTCATTACCTTTTGTTTTTACCTCTTTTCCCAATATATCCCCTCCCGATCGAACCATCCCTCTCTAACAAAGAATCAAAAAGAATGCCAACTTTCTCTTTTCAGGGATAGTCTCATTTTTGTCTCTATCCTCAGTGCCTCACCCAATGCCTGGGATACTGTAAGTGCTTAATAAGTGCTTGCTTATTGACTGATTGGATGTATACCCCAGGAGAATGTTGGTCCTGGGGACAGGGACTAGCTTCGTTTTTGTCCACAGTAGGTGCCTAATGAGTGAAGAGCTGTATGATCCTGGGCAAGTCACTTAGGCCAGCGGCCCTTCTCGCTCCAAATCTCCTCCTCCACCTCTTCCCTTAGCCCTCCCTCTGCTCTGAGACTCTTGTTTCCAAGACATTCAATTCAACAAGCATTTATTAAGCACCCACTGTGTACCATGCCCTGTGCTAGGCACCAGGGGGCACAAACATGAAGCAGTCTCTAACCTCACTGGGGGTGGCTGGGAACCACAAATACATAGAGAAGTAAAGAGAAAACGATTCTGGGCTGGACCTGGGCCTCCGTGGGCCTGGTGAACTCCACCTGTGCAGAGGGCACCCACTTCACCAATAACAGTGCTGCAGAGATTTCCTGGGGCACGGAGAGCCAGGATGTGTCTGAGGCAGGACTTGAACTCAGGTCTTCCTGACCACAAGGCCACCCACCTCTCAAACACAAAATATACATGAGGCCATTTGGGGGAATAGATGGCAGAGAGATGTGGGGGCCCTGAGGCTCTAGTGGAGTCAGGAAAGGCCTTGGATGGGGGTGGCTCCAGAGTCAAGGGAGCTGAGGACCAAGGAGGGCATTCCAGGCAGGCGGCACAGCCCAGGCAAAGGCAGAGTGCAAGCGATGGAGTGTGAGGAAGAGCCTGGTTCTCTCTCCTTAGCGGTTGCTGCTTTCTGGCAGGGATCCCTAGGCCACAGGCCCCAGCCTCCTGTTTCCTTCTGCTCCCTCCCATCTTGGGAGGCTCCCCTCCAGCCTCTACTTCCTCCTCCCGTCCCAGAACCTCAGCTCCGGTCTTGGGGCATCAGGGCCATGAGTCTTCTTTGTTTGTGACTTATTTATTTCCCCCACTCATCTTGAAGCTCCCAGAGAGTGTGGCAACTGACTCCTAGTCATCTTTGCCTCTTCCCCCTCCCAACCCAGGTCGCTGGAGCCTCGGGCCTTGCACACTGTAGATGCTCAGCAGATGTCTGAGGATCTAATAAAGCCACCTGGTCATTTATGCAGAGGCCCATCCACTCAGTCCCTGAGCCACCTACCGACTTGTCCCGGGAGACCTTCTTGAAGATGACGTGGTTTGGGGCATTCTTCACGCCAGTCGCCATCTTAGAAGGGCCTCTGGGAGGCCTTCAGGTGCCAAAGATCCTTGGAAGGTGAGCAATGACCTTAAATAAAGGTGCAGAGACAGGCCAGCTGAGGCGCAAAGGTGAGCTAGTGTGGGCTTCTGAGAAGTCCTGCTAACCTCAGTTCCCAAGAGCCAGAATCGTCAGATGGAATCAGGAAGACCTAGCTAGCTTCCAGGCTCAGCTCTGCCCGATACCGGCTGTGTGACTGTGGACAAGGCACCCAACCTCTCAGCGCCCGAGGAGGCTCTCTGACATGCTAATGCTCACAGGCTCGTAGGGTCAGAACTGGGAGGACATCAAATCTAACGCCTTCCTTTTACAGATGAGGAAAATGAGGCACACACAGAAAGGCACGTTAAGGTCAGAGAAATAGGCAGGATCGAAGGCAAGCTTCAGTTAAGTAGCTGACCCACTTTGGTGGAGGGAATATCCACCCTGGGAATTCCCAACATTAATGAAATCCGAGGTAAAAACAAGCAACAAACAAGCCCCAAACTACCCTCAGCTTCTCTTTCTTTCTTTCTTTCTTTCTTTCTTTCTTTCTTTCTTTCTTTCTTTCTTTCTTTCTTTCTTTCTTTCTTTCTTTCTCTCTTTCTTTCTTTCTTTCTCTCTTTCTCTCTTTCTTTCTCTCTTTCTCTCTTCTTTCTCTCTTTCTTTCCTTCCTTCTCTCTTTCTCTCTTTCTTTCCTTCCTTTCTCTCCTCTCCTTCCTTCCTTCCTTCCTTCCTTCCTTCCTTCCTTCCTTCCTTCCTTCCTTCCTTCCTTCTCTCTCTCTCTTTCTTTCTTTTCTTCCTTCCTTTCTTTCTCTCTCTCTCTCAACAATTATATTTTTAATTAACAAAAATCTATTTTCTTTCCCTCTCAAATCTCCTCCCACTGAACAACAAAAAGGAAAAACCCTCATAACAAATATACACAGTAGTCAAGCAAAAGACATTCCCATGTTTATCCTAAGCTTCCAACGTAGCCAGATAATAAAGTCTTTTATATGGTTTGATTTTTAGGCAGAATGTCCTCAAAAAGGAAAAAAATAATCCCTTCTTTACTGGTGTGGCATAATGGGTAACATTCTGAAGTGGGTGTCAGGAAGGTCTGAGTTCAAACACCATCTCTCATCCCAGCTGTGTGGCCATGGCCAAGTCCCATAACCTTGCTGGACGTATACTGTTGGGATCTGGCTTGATAGGCCATGAAATCACAAGTCAGTACTGACATATTTGCCTTTTCTTATAAAGCCTCAGCAAAATGGGCCTAATCGTGGTTCTAAGAAGTGGCAGGTTCAAATGAGGAAGACTTCCTGTTTGGATTGCCCCCTGCCCATGGCACGTTCATACTGGCCCGGACTAGTGGTGGAAGAAGTCACCAGCTCCAGGTGCTAAAATGCAGTGCGAATTTAAAATTTAAAATCCTGTTATACTCAGCCTTCTTGTGGATAATAAGTATGTTCTAGAGAACCAGAGAGCATCTACCTCATGCAAAAAAGTATTTCATTCAGAGCAGCTCCCAGCCCCCTTTCCTTCCCACCTTCAACGCTGCCTGTTCCAATTCATTAGAGCAGTTGTTTCCCAAACTTTTCTGATGCTGCATACCATTAGTGAACCATGTTGGAGCGCGTACCACCAATATGTGGATACTGACTTATTTCAATTAAATTATATTATTATACCATATAAAGGACTATTGAACTAATAATTACACGTAACATTATAAAACTCACACACAAGATAGAAACTGAAAAGGAATGAAATAGGGTTGAAATCCTATTTGATTCTAGAGATAATAAAAAGGTTTAACAAGGAGGGAAAATAGAGTCAGACCCATGACCGTCTGCCCATGCTGAGTGGCGGCTCATGCGCCTCTTGGGGTCAGGCTGTGGTCCCCTGGGTGGGCACAGCCCTGACTATGGAGACCTCTGCACCAGCCCACAGAAGGGAACACAAACCTTTGCTTGGAGTAGCCAGGCTGGGTAACCTCACCTGAAGATCCCCCAGAAAAGTCAACCAGGAGGAAATAAAACTAAGGTGGGGTGAGATTTATTCAACAACTTTGACTTCCACTGGCCCCATTCAGATTTCTTGCTAGACCAGTAACATCCATTTAAAGACTGATTTACAGTATCTTGGTTTTTACCTGGAGTTCTGCTGGGCCAGTAACGGCGGTATGGAGACTCGGGGACTCCGGTTCCGTCTCTTTCCAAGTAAGCTAGTGCTGTTCAGGTAGGACGATGTACTTGGTGGCCCTTTACCTGAAATGGATGAGAGTGAACCCCCCAAAGGATGAAGAGGGGAATTTGTAGCAGATTTGGATGGGCTGTTGCCGTTTAGGAAATAATCCCATGCACAGAACAGAACACAGGACCTGAGTTAGCCCCTGAATCAGCAAACGATGCATCAGCAGTTCTGGGCATTAACCAAGGAAGCTGCTCTTCTTCCTCACTCCGTCTGCTCAGGCTCAGCTCTAGGGCCAGCATGGGGGGTGGGGTGAGCAGGCAGGTGGGGTGGGGCTGGGAGGTAATGCGTGGAAATGAAAGCTATTTTTCTCTGTTAAACCTCTTAGATTTCTAGAAATAGACTGGATTCGCTTTCCTCAAGAAGCATCAGTAAGACAAAAGGCTTGAAAATCTTAGGCTTAATTTAGCTGAACCAACACTTAATGCCATCTTAAGGTCATAAATTTTAATAAAAAGGTCAGGAGGCCTGCTGGCCCCACGGGCATCCTAGCAGCAGTAATCAGCTTGTGGCCCTCCTAGCCACTGCCAAATTCATTTAAGAGCCTTACCCGAGTATCTGCCACAGATGGATGTTTTTGGGCACCAAGGTCGGGCTTCCAGGGATTCCTGTGGTTGGTCTGGGTAGGCAGTATTCGTTACCGCAGGGTGCAACCTTAAACTGGGAAGAGGCAAGGGTTTGCACTTATCTGAAGAAAAACCAATTCTAAAAATTCCATATTGAGAGTAGAATTTAAAAAAAGGCTACATGAAACCATAAATCTCTAAGAAGAGCTTACTTTTTTTTTTTACAAAGTATATGATTCAACATGTTCAAAGCTATCCATCAACTGGGTCTATTTCCTTTTGTTGTCTTCAGTGCATTTAAAAAATGCAATGACTCCCTTCCTTCCTTTCTCTCTCCCTTTCTTTTTTCTTTCTTTCTTTCTTTTTTTTTTTGTAGTCAATGGGGTTAAGTGACTTGCCCAGGGTCACACAGCTAGCAAATGTCAAGTGTGTAAGGCCGGATTTGAACTCAGGTCCTCCTGACTCCAGGGCCGGTGCTCTGTCCACCTCACCATCTAGCTGTGCCATTTTCATTCTTTCTGGCAACACTATCACTAGCTTTCCCCTTCTCCTCAAACATGACCTCTAACTGATGAAAAAAAAGAGAAAAAAACCACTTGGCATGGCCAAGAAAAACCAATCCACAGACTGCCCATATCTGAAAGTGTGCACCTCACACTGCATCTTGAGTCCATCACCTTGGTGAGGAGGCAGCATCACCGCTTCATGAGGGCCGCGAGGTGGCGCCATGGTGCATAGAGTGCCACCCTGGATACTGAAGACTCTTCCCAATTTCAAATCCGGCCTCCCTTCCTAGCTGTGTGACGCTGGGCAAGTCACTTCACCCTTTTTGCCTCAGTTTCTCATCTGTAAAATGTGCGAGAAGGAAATGGTAAACTACGCCAGTAGCTTTGCCAAGAAAACCCCAAATGGGGTCACGAAGACATGACTGAAAAATGACTAACCAGCAAAAATCATGCTTCATCATGGGTGCTGTGAAACGGTCAGTCCTCATACTGATCTGAGTTCTTAGATCTTTCAAAATTGTTTTGCTTAACCGTTCTCTTGGCCCTCTTCATTTTACTCGGCATCAGTTTCACTTCAGTCTTCTCTGGTTGTTATTCCTTACGACTCCATAGTCTCTTATATTTACATGCTATGATTGTTTCAACTACTCCCTTCATTTCTAGTGCCTTTTTCTAACACTAAGAGTTGCTCTAAATATTTTTGTGCACATGCTTCCTTTGTAGTGTTGCTGACCTCTCTGGGCACACACCTAGCTGCGGTCAGTGGGTATGGACGGGGTAGTGTTTTTGGATATGGTCCCAAACTACAGCTGAGGGTGGCTGGACCAAGTTAGGTCTCCAACAGTTGGGTCTTCCTGCCTTCTCATGGCCGCTCCAATACTTTTCATTTTCCATGACCATTGTTCTCATCAATCTGATGAGTAAGATATGGAACTTCAACTTGTTTTAATTTGCATTTAATTATTAGCATACTTCAATAAGGCTGTTGATAACTTGGAGTTCTTCCTTTGAGAACTGCCTGGTCATACATCTTGATTATTTATCAATCAGGGAATGGCTATAATTCTTATATATTTGAATCAGTTATGTATCTTGGATAGCAGACCTTTATCTGAGAAAGTTGTTGTAAAGACCCTCCTTCCCCACCCCCTGAACTATTTCTCTTCTAATTTTAACCACATCTTGCTTGTGGAAACTTTTACACAATCATAATTGTCCATTTTCTCTTCTACAACCCTCTCTTTCTCTTACTTGGCCATGAACTCTTCCCAACTTCATCTTTATTCATTGCTCCTCTGTTTGTGAAATGACTTTTTTAAAACCTGGTTTTATATCCATCTAGAGCTTATTGTATATGGCGTGAAATATTTGCCTACACCCGATTTCTGCTGGACTGCTTTCCAGTGTTTCCAGGAGCTTTCGGCTGAATCATAAGTCCATATTGTTGGGATCTTTGGGTTTATTGAAAACTATGCACCTACGTTTATTTTATTTTTTTTCCCCGTATGTCGCACACTTAATCTGTTGTGCTGATGGATTTCTCTCTTTTTTAACCAACACCGAAATAGTTTTTACTGGTCACTACTTCACAGTGTAGTGTGAGGCCAAGCACTGCTAGATCCCCTTCCTTCCCATGTTTTTTCATTATTTCTCTTGAGAATCGTGACCTTTTGCTCCTCCAGATTAATTTCATAACTTTCTTGATTCCAGCCCTCTAAAGCAATCCATCGGTCATTTGATTGGTACAGCACCAAATAAGTAAATTAATGTTGGTAGCAATGCTATTGCTATTATAGTGGTATGGCCTAGCTATGGGTGATTACTATCTCTCCACTTTCTTATTTCTGTAAAGAGTTTTGTCGTTGCATTTATGCAGCTCCTGTGTGTTTTGGTGAAGGTGGACTCTTAAATAGAACATACATTTCTGTAGTTACTTTGAATAGAATTTCTTCATGTAGTCCTCTTGGGTTTTATGGCAATAAATGCCATAGGCATCATATATCCAGACAGGCAGATGCTCCGTCTGGTTTTACTTTATATCTTGCTGCACTGAAATTATTTCAATTAACTGAAAAATAAAAACTTTAAGAAGGAGAGCAATGGTCAGTATTATTCTTGGATTCCTGAATCAAATGGGATCACGTGTAAGTTCCCATTCCAATTAAGTTGGGAGAAACAGGTAAAGCCCCTGGATGGCCGCTGATGGTGCAGGGCAGCGGCTCCACCGTCTGCGGGCTTTTCACGTCTTCTGGTAGAGGGATGGCATTTGGTGAGGAAACAGGCAGAAGTAACCATGCGTTGCTAGTTGCTTACTCCCAAATTCGCTTACCACAAATAAGATTCTATCTCTCGCCTCCGTGCCTGGAAGGCATTTTCTTCCAGATCTCCATTTTCCTTCAAAGATTCGCTCAAATATCATCTCCCACAAGAAGCTTGGCCTGCTCCCCTTCCTCTTCCCACTTCCAGACTGCTCCTCGGACAAACTGTCTCTTATATTTACTTTTCTTTGTGTTTGTTACCCCTTCCCCTCTCCCACTCCCGCTCCCCTTAGCATGCTCCCTGCCTTCTTGAAGGTGGCGACCATCACATTTTTTTACTATCTTCAGCACCAGCACAGCCTGGCACACAGGAGGCACTTAATGCTTGCTGACTGACGATGAATAATGGATTTAGGGCATTTCAAAGGTGATCACATCATTAAACCTCGCACGTGAAATGACATGGTTTGACACTTTCGGTCCATGGGAGCACATGGCAAAGCCTTATCCATCGAATTCAGATGAATGGGGAGTCATGAAGACACGCTAGATGTGTGATGCTGAGCTGGCAGCATTTACTCCATCGAGGCTTCATCGTTGACAATCCAACAGCGATCCAGGGTGAAGATGATTATCGCAAGCACTCGGAGGAGCCTTCTCCTCCAAAAGTTAAGCTTACTAGGGCAGAGGTCATTGAAAAATAATTTTTAAAATCTTTCCCTTATCTCAAATCTCTGCAGGAAAGAAACAATTCCCAGCTCTGGGGTCTTAGAGCTTTGCTGAAGTATGACACATAACAGCACTGTGAATCTGGGCCAATCCCTTCACCTCGAGTGCCCTGGACAACCATCTAAGATGAAAATCGCACGGTTATCCAGGAGTTTCCATGTTAAGGAGCTTCTCAAAAAGATGAAATCATAGGTCTGAACTGCCCCGTTCCCCCCCAGTACTTTCAAAAAAGTGGGCTGTGGTTTTTGCCCACATTTGGGCAAAAAAATCTTGCCTCTGTGAAGAGTCTGAGCTTTTCAGCTCTATTTCTTCAGTCTTGACATACTGAATGGCTCTGATGTTTTAATAATTACGACGATTTCCTTACAGACTCTCCAGTTGGAAGGGACCAATCATTTGGTCCAACCTACACACCACATTCTGACCAAGAATCCTGGCACAACATTCTCAACAGTCATCCAGCCCATTTGAAGACCTCTGGTGAAGGAGTCCAGTCCACTTTGGGACAGATCAGTCAGCCAGTTTTTTCTGTTATCAAGTCCCAGCTGGTCTCTTTACAGCTTCCTCCTGCTTCTCTCTCACCTCTGGGCCCCAGATCTGCCCTCTGGGGCCAGTGAGAAGCAGCTTAGTTCCTCTTCTAAGACACAAGTACACAGATAGCCATTAAAGTAGGGGTAGGGGTGGGAGAAGGGGAGGGAGGAGATAAAAGTCTCTGCAACATAAACTCCTATAGGGCACAGTCTTTAGCATCTTTGAGCCTTCTGGTTGCTCCTTCCTGATGCCTCTCCATTTCATTAATCTCCTTCCTACAGTGTGGTGTCCCAAGCTGAACTGAATACTGCATTCCTGAAAAATTCAGAATACACGCAAGGCAAGAGAGGCTTTGCCTTGTCTCCCCACACTGTGATCTAAGATTTCTAGTGTATTTCTTCTTTTTCTTGGGGCCACCCTAAGTGCACTGAACTTTTGGAATGGATTCATGGATTGTGTGAAAACTAGTCTAGCTTAGTTGCTTATTGTTGGGGTGGCCAGGGGGTAACAAATTTTTGAGCCACAGCAACTTGGGACCATCTAATAAGTGACAGAGATGTGACCCACGTTGCCTGAGATGAATAAAGCTACCAATTCAAAACCAAGTCCTCTGTAGGCAGTCCCTAAATACAAAGGGCTAGAAGCTTGGTGTAGCCCACTGCGTGTCTCAACTCACTGATTTCTAGGATGTAACAGACTCGTTTCCCATTCAGAGGGCAGACGCTGTTGCCCAGTGCCTGGGATTTAAAGCCCCTTCCCAAGCTGGCTCTAGCCTCCCTCCCCAGGCCTATTACACATGACAGGATTCCTCTCTTTCTGCTCTATCTCCCTCCCAGCCATACATTAGGCCTCGACAACTGGCTGCTTTTCTTATACATCATCCCACCTCCTGCCTACAGACCTTTGCCCAGGCTCTCAACACTTCTACCTCTTGAATTCCCAATTCCCTTCAAAACTCAGTTGAAGCAGCTTCCTATCCAAGACCTTTCCTGATGCCCTGGCTACTGCTAGTGCTGACCGCCAATTACTTTGTGCTGACTGTATTCATTTTGCATGATATACAGTAAGCTCTCTGAAGGCAAGGATGTGGGCTCATCACAAAACCAGCTATATTTACATAAAAGATGTTTAAAGCAAGGGACACTAAGGGACCCTGACTGACGTAGAATCTTAATTAGTGTGACGGCTGAGCAGAATGCAATCGTACTCCTTTGGTCCCAGCCCAACATCGTGTCTATCAGCTGGCACTCATTCACAATAAGGCTGCCAACTGACCAGAAGTGTGCCACAAGTATTACAGAAAACCCTACCTCATCGAAGCTCACTCCCCCAGGCAGTTTCTGCAGTCAGTCCTTTCATAATCTATCCCCATTGGGTGGATTACGACACAGAACAATCCTTTTTTAGCTCTTAATGCCCTGGGGAGCTGCATTAGATTGCTCTCCAAGGTCAGAGGATAACCTCATGATAACCTCAAATCACAGGACTCCTATTTTTGGCCCAGGTTTAGAAAATGTGTGCTTACTTACGTACCAGATGAACAGTAAATGGTTATCCTCCCTCTTTGTGACTATTGGCTGCCTCTAACCAACCTCATCCTGGGCGGTCTTACTGATTTAAGGGGAAATGGACTTATTTCTGTACACAGAAGTGTCAATGAGCAATGCTTCTATGGCCAGACGGTCCTTTACTGGTGAATCCATTTGTTGTAGCAAGTGGCTGTTACTTGGAAAGACAACTGGGACAGTGGTCCCAATGTTAATCAGCACCTCCTTCTTTAGGAGTCAGCATAGCTGAGAAAGACCAAACACCTCAATTTCAAGTGGATTTTATGACAACATTCTTGTGAAGCAGCAAAAACAGACATTGAGGGTTCCGATCTGGAGACAATACCATTGGAATTTGGACCAACTGTGTGGTGCTATTGGCCAAGAATCCATACTAAGGGGGGCAGCTAGGTGGTGCAGTGGATGGAGCACCGGCCCTGGATTCAGGAGCACCCGAGTTCAAATGTGACCTCAGACACATAACACTTACTAGCTGTGTGACCCTGGGCAAGTCACTTAACCCCACTGCCTAGTCAAAAAAAAAAATCTATACTAAGTGATAAGAAATCATCTTAAGGGAAAAGAACTCTTAACTCAAGTATTTTCTTCTAATCAAAAGCATAAGACCAGGACAACAGAAAATAACTTCCTTCCCTTTCAGTATGAAGGGGAAAAACCACCACCATAACACAGAAACATGAAATTTTTAAAGCAGAATTTATTTATTTACAATCAAGTTCTCCTGGGCAGTATAATAAAATAAATAAAAGCTGTGTCCAGGTCTGTCTCGTTCATTCGACTCCTTTCCAGAGAGGTCGCCTGAATCCAGAATCGGGATCAGAGTAGTGTGAGGGTAGGCGAAGAACAAGAATGTTGAGAGCATTCCCTTGGCTGAGGATTGGAGACTTGGAGCCGGAAGGAACCTCAGAGGTCACAGAGCCCAACATCTCC